GCTGGGGATTTGAACCCGCCGCCTTAGGTGTATGTGGCTGGCGCCTTAGCCGGTTGAGCTATAGGCACTGAGCCGGTTGAATTTCTTAATTTGGGTAACTGACCAAAGTTTAATTGTTGGGTCATAAACCTTCATATATCTTTGATTGGCCGGCTGACTTCATTAGCAGGCTCATAGATTACTGGACATCTCTCCAGTCCTTTGCTAAATGTACTAAATACTCATGCCGTTTCCCAGATTTCAAACACATTTGATTACTTTTCAGTTCAAAGGCTTGAAAAGCTAAGGATGGGTTTGGCAACTATAGCTCAAGTGGCTAAGGCACCAGCCACATACACCAGAGCTGGCCGGTTTGAAACCAGCCTGGGTCTAGCAAACAACAATGGCAACTGCAACCAAAAAAAAAAATAGCCAGGCGTTGTAATGGGCGCCTGTAGTCCAAGCTACTTGGGAGGCTGAGGCAAGAGAATCACTTAAGACCGGGAATTGGAAGTTGCTGTGAGCTGTGATGCCACAGCACTCTACCCAGGGTGACAGCTTGAGGCTCTGTCTCAAAAAAAAAAACAAAAAAAGCTGTGGATGATTCATGTGTAATAGTATTTTGTTTAATCTATAAGTATATTCTGAATATTTATAACTTTTTACTTTCTGGCACTTTCGTGTACATTAGTTTATTGTGCCTTGTAACATACTAGAGGAGAGTGATGAGCAGTTAGTATTTCCCCACACCCACTTTTACAGATAACAATGTTGAGGATATGTTTTATAAGACTTGAATAGTTAGTATACCTTATAAATAATAGAATTAAGATGAGAACCCAGATTCTGTTCTGGTCTTTTTCACTTTCATATGTAGGTTGTTGTGTGTCTACAAAAAAAATAGGATTATGACTTTAAGGATAAAGTTATGCTAAATTTAGTTCTGAGTATATTAAATTGATGGCATACTGAATTCCTTGGGATCTTTCTTTATGTGACTCCAATTTATAGAAGTGGTAGTGTGAGATTTTCTATGTGCTTTTGGGAGGTAAATCCCTTTGAACAGTAAAACTCTTAAATTGCTCTAATTTTCCAATAAGGCAGGATTTATTATAAAATACTTTGTATGTGTGTTTTTTTAGGTTTTTTTGTTTTTTGAGACAGAGTCTCAAGCTGTCGCCCTGGGTAGAGTGCCATGGCGTCACAGCTCTCAGCAACCTCAAACTCTTGGGCATAAGTGATTCTCTTACCTCAGCCTACCAAGTAACTGGGACTATAGGTGCCTGCCACAACACCTGGCTATTTTTTGTTGTTGTAATTAGAGTTGTCATTCTTGCCTTAGGTGGCCCAGGCTGGATTCAAACCCACCAGCCTTGGTGTATGTGGCCAGCATCCTACCGACTGAGCTACGGGTGCCGCCCATGTGTCTTTTTTTTTTTTTTAATGAACTAGATCCTAATGATTTTTCATTTTGTAAAATATAAAAATAATGTGCTTTTAATTTTTATGGATTCAATCCTTAAAAAACTGTTAAAGTATAAATTGTATTTGGGTAAGCATCAAGGTAAGAAATGATATTTTTGAAGAATGTTTCTGTAGGAATTGTTATGCCTTTAATAAGCAGGTAGGAAAAGGGAATACATTAATGAGAGTAGAGAAAGGGTATATTTTATCTTGATGCATCTTTTATGGCTCTGAGTACTGCTTTTATATACAATTTTGTTTT